TTTTTTGAGATGGAGTCTCACTCTGTCGCCCAGGCTGGAGTGCAGTGGTATGATCTCGGCTCACTGTAGCCTCCACCTTCCATGTCCAAATGATTCTCCTGCCTCAGCCTCCCAAGTAGCTGGGACTACAGGTGTGCATCACCACGACTGGCTAATTTTTGTATTTTTAGTAGGATGGGGTTTCAGCCTGCTGGTCAGGCTGGTCTTGAACTCTCAACCTCAGGTGATTTGCCCGCCTCAGCCTTCCCAAGTGCTGGGATTGCAGGCATGAGCCACTGCGCCCAGCCCTGGGAGGTCTTCTTTATCTCTCCTGGGCAGTTAGGTGGTCTCTCCCTCCTGCTCCTCTAGCACCAGGGCAAACCTTGGTCATCCTACCTGTCACATCCGTGGCATATCTACCAACTTAGAGGGGGAGGAGCATGTAGGTGTGGCCATGCAAAGTGAGACCTGTGGACCGGCAGCTTCAGAAGCACATGAAGGCTTGTTAGGAAGGCAAAATCTAGCCAGACACAGTGGCTCACTCCTGTCATCCCAGCGCTTTGGGAGGCCGAGTCCGGTAGAGTTTGAGACTGGCTTGGGCAAAATAGTGAAACCCCGTCTCTATGGAAAAAAAAAAAAAAAAGCAAAGATTAGCTGGGCATGGTGTGCATGCCTATAGTCCCAGCTACTCAAGAGGCTGAGGTGGGAGGATGTATTGAGCCACAAGAGGTCGAGGCTGCAATGAGCTGTGACGTGCCACTGCACTCCAGCCAGGGCAACAGAGAGACCCAGTCTCAAAATAATAATTTCAGTTTGCATCTAAGAAGGTCCCAAGTGATTTGTTTGCATTTTAAAATTTGGGAAGCACTGATGACTGAACAGAAGCGTCCACAAGGTGAGGGGACAAGAGGTTTCAAAGTACACATAGGTCTTTTCATTGCCTTAGTTTGTGGGAGGTTGAGGTGAGGGTGGCTGTGGACAGCAAATTGAAATTACCTACTGTAGGCCGCACGTGGTGGCTGATGCCTGTAACCCCAGCACTTTGGGAGGCCGAGTTGGGCAGATCACTTGAGGTCAGGAGTTTGAGACCAGCCTGGCCAACATGGCAAAGCCCCATCTCAACTGAAAATACAAAATTAGCTAGGCACGGTGTGGTGCGTGCCTGTAATCCCAGCTATTTGGGAGGCTGAGGCAAGAGAATCGCTTGAACTCTGGAGGTAGAGGTTGTGGTGAGCCAAGATCGTGCCATTGCACTCCAGCCTAGGCAACAAGAGCGAAACTCCATCTCAAATACAAAAGTTGGCCGGGTGTGGTGGTGCGTGCCTGTAATCCCAGCTACTTGGGAGACTGAGGTAGGAGAATTGCTTGTACTCAAGGGGCAGAGGGTACAGTGACCCGAGACTGTACCACTGCATTCCAACCTGGGTGATAGAGCAAGACTGTCTCAAAAATAAAAATAATAAATGATAAATGATCTCCTGACATCCTAGAATGAATAAAATCGATGCAAGCTTTGAGGCTTGGGTCCGGAAGAGAATCTATTATTCTGAAAACAGCTGACAATTTCAGGTTGATGCTGTGCTGAGGTGAATAAGGCAGACAGATGCTAGGATATGTCAGCAAAAGGACCTGTCACTGTGTCAGTTAAGAGAAATGTTGAACACTCACCCCTTTGTCAGAGCCAGAATGAAGCCAGAGCACAACAGCAGGAGGATGAGAAGAGGGGAGACAGCTCTGTCCTGACAACAGGAAATTGCCCTGGGAAGATTGATTTGCACTTAGTGCAAAGTCACTGTGGCCAGAAAGGGCTGTGTGTGGAGACTCTTCTGCATGTTCGACTCACCTGCGTTGTCCTGCCCGATATGCACTTAGCATTCTCATTACTCAGAGTCGTCACAGGCAGTGGCACTTAAATAATGGACCCTTAAGTCTAACCTTCTGAAAGGCCCCGTTATTTTTTATTAATACAATCTAGACATCTAGGGGAGAACTAAGCTCTCCTGCAGAGCAGTCATTGTGAAGGCAGCGTGGTGGAGTGGGGGAAGGACGAGGGGCTGTAATGATAGCCTTCCGGCCCCCAGGAGAATGCTGCTGAGGAGAGCGTCACTGTTGGTGAGCGCCTACCTCACCAACGTGAGGTACCAGGGTGGAAAATACCCCACGTGTCCACTCTCTAGCCATATCACCCTGGTATTCTCATTCCTACAGCTGACAAAACTGAAGCAGAGAGAGGTTACATGACTTGAGGCATCCCACTGCTAACAAATGGCAGAGATGCTGATAGGGGTTGAATTCTGTCCCCCAGAAAAGGTATGCTGAAGATGGCCTGGCATGGTGGCTCACGCCTGTAATCTCAGCACTTTGGGAGGCCGAG